CCAATAGTCAATTCTTGAGGACGCCTGACCATTAGGTTTTCTCCAAGTGAAAGATCTAGCATATTTATTTTGCTCTCTCCAAATATCAACTAGATTATTCTGGTTAATAAAGTCACTTATTATTTGATTTTGATGATAATAAGAGTATTTGCTTGGCCATCTAACCATTCATCCTGAGTTAGATTAAAATCCCCTCCCATTATGATATGGTCTGTGGCATATTTATTTTTAAATTCTTCAATAATATTGGAGATTTGAAAGAGAAGATATTTGTTTTTCTGTTCATTATTGTACCCATAAATGTTAATTAACATCACAAGTACCCCGTCTACGTTCGTTATGCATGCAGTCCAGTGTCCATCAGAGTCAGCTTTGACTATTAATATTTCCCCTGCAAGCTTGTTGAAACATATTGCTGTCCCAGCTAAGAGATTGGACCCGTGACTGAAGAGGATTTTGTCTCCCCACTGTTGAGACCAGAACTTTTCATCAGTTTTGTCCGAATGAGTTTCTTGAAGAAAGAAGAAGTTAGATTTTTGCCCCTTGCAGAATAAAAAGATAGCCTTGCTTTTAATTGAGTCTTTGAGTCCCCTTACATTTAAAGAAGAACAAGAAATATTTGTCTTAAGTTGAACCATAAAACACACAACAGAATAATAAATGGGTTTAAAACCACCAAAATAATATTACCGCTAAGAGGTAGGAGCTGAAACTTTTGAAAGTCCTTATTCTGAGTGCTCCAAACAAAATGTCATTTTCACCTTTGTAGTTCATTATCCTGTTATCTGTTTTCCGTTGATGAAGCCGTGTGGACCTCTGAAGCCCGCCGTCTTCCCCTCTTTTCTAGCCTGGTCAATCTTGGGCCACAGCGCCTGCCTGGACTGCCAGTCCTCCTGGGTCAGATGCTCAGCGAAGCGGATTCCTTCCTCTTTGAAGACTGACGATGCTTTGGTTCTCCTCCAGATGTCGTCTCTGATGTGTATTTTTGCAAAGAGGATGACGATATGCCGATGTTTTCCTTCCATGGGTTTTCCCATCCTATGCACCACGTCTACTACATCATCCATTTTCTGCAGCATTTCTGGCATAATTCTCCCCAGAATTTTGATAATATCCTGTCTTACGTTTTCGTTTGATTTTTCTTTCCTCCCAATCAGTAGAAGAGACCACCTTCTGTACCTTTCTGATTCCAGAAGACGATTCTTTATGTCTTCATTTTCTTTTTTAAGTGTTTCCACATGTTTCTCCAGATCTTTGACTTTATCTTTGCATTCTTTTAGATCTTCTGAGTTGAGTTGCACTGTCTTAGCAATAGCTGTTAGCATGGTGCTATGCTGCTGCATTGTGAGTGCATGTCCTCCATGTGGTCATCTAAACGTCTACCAAGCGAGTCAATGGTTTTTAAAATAGTGTCTAACGGCATCTCATTTTTACATTCTTCGGTCGTACCTTTAGTCTTCTTTTCATTCAGGGTTTTTTCCGGCGTTTCCCTGCCTCGCTTCCCTATGCTAGCAACATCCATGGGTGAAGCGTAGCTGTGTTCCTCCTCCTCCGTCGATGGAAATTGAATCTTTGCAGGCTGTATTTTCTTTGGCTTCATGATTTTGTGGGTTACATATGAACAGGAATCCTGAGTTTTCACAGAGCTTTTCAGCTGATATCAGTTATTTTTCAAGGGCTGTAGTATCCGAGCTCGTCAGCACGTCCTAACAGAACGCCATCTTCCCGGAACCCTCCATTCTTCAAATATCCAAAAAATACCCTTACTTCCCACTTTATCTTCTTTGAGGGATAATAAATGTCCTGCGCGCGGCCGTCTCCTCCTTTGGCCATTATTTCAGCTTTAGCTTCAAGAAAGTTTTGGCCGTAAACAACAAAGTGCGCATGTGCTGCCGGCAATGATACGGTGGCTGGTAAGGGTCACCGCGCCTACACTGCAGCCAAGGTTATCCACTGAGATAATATTTTTTTAAAAAAATAAGACGGTTATTATTGTCAACTTTTTTACCGGGGTTTACCGCTACACCGGTTACCGTGACAACCCTAGTGTCGGAGCTAAGTGATTAGCGTAGCGCTACATTGGAATATTGTATGAGGCATGGCTTTTATCACCGTATCACATGGTGAGATTAAATCTTGCATTACATGGCCATGGATCAGGATGGAGGAGAGTAGGGACCAAAGTGATGGTTTTACTCTGTTATTCACAGAAAACCGTGCCGTGTTAAAGCTGCTTCTACCATCTCTAGTCTTTTATATCTTTTACATGCGGCTCTTCTCTTTCTCCTTGCAGTGTGTTCTCTACCTCTGGTCTCTCAAAATCAACCACCCAACAACACTCTTCCTCCTGCGTGGGAACCATGAGTGCCGGCACCTCACAGAGTACTTCACCTTCAAGCAGGAATGTAAGTTAAGTGCTTCTCAGCTGCTTGAAGGCCAAGCAGTCCCATGTGCTCTGAACCACTTTACATTAGCTTCTTACTGTTTCCAGGAAGTCTGGGCAGAGAGCTGGCATACACCACCACTGATTTCTGTGACTAGCTTTCTACAAGTAGGACATGCCCGTTTCACAACGTGTACAAATTTAGAAAGTCCTGTCACAAGATGTGATGTTTAGACATCATGAAAGGATCCACAGAAGAGAAGAATTTCCTTCTTCATGTAACAGATGACCTGCTGGAGAATATAGAGCAGCCAAACACGCTGTTGATGCCCCTCAGACTGTAGCACATACACGTGTGTGTGTGTGTGTGCGTGTGCTTGTGCGTGTGTGTCTCAGCTGCAGATAGAGTTCACCTGTTGCATCTCCACTCACATCCACCCACATATCACTCCATCTGCACACCTGCTGGGGTTTGTAGAGGACTGGCTGAGTCCGTTGCTTTGGGTTTATTTTTATCGCTTCATCTCAGACTGACTTTCCCCTACTAGAGTACTAACCAGTAAATAGTTAGCCTGACCCACTGTTCTTGTCAGATCATGTCAAGTGTATGGCCGTGGCATAAAGGTGAGAAACTGCACGTCATAGACGTTACTCAACTCGTACAGTTACAAAGCTCAGTGTCGTCAGCGACATAGGGATGAAACTTATGCAACAGCACTTTCACAAATAGGCAAATACCGTTGTTTGACATAAAATGTTATTATCAATGAGACAGATAACTTCTGTTTTCCTGTTTTTTTTCTCTAATCCGCTTTGACTTACGCCCTGTATCATACACATGTTGTACTGCAATTGAGATGAAAACTAATGATGGGTGTTTCGACAACACCAGTCACGTGCTTTCAGATTAATTAGCTTGTAAAAGTTTGTAATTAGCATGTCTACACACCAGAAATCAGCATGTCGCATATGTGACGTCACCACATAACCTCCTCTCCCCTGACGTAGCTGCTACTTACCACATGACCAGATTTATGGTGGTTCTTTCCTCCTGTGGGAGGTTTGCTGAACTTACAGCCATTTTCCCTCAGTTCTCTCCACATCTGGTTTGATGATGTCACTTTCATGAAGCACATTTTTAGCCCTGGACTTATTTTCACACAAAACCTAAAATATTGTGCTCCCTGCTTGGCGGCCGCATCAGTGATCGGGGTGCCACCGGAGGACAAGGTGATGCGCCCCGCTCCACAGCAGCGAAACACATCAGGCGCAAATAAAAGACAGAAAACATTAAAGGAAATGAACCGACATGAACGATCGCGTGTCAGTACCGACGCTCTGGCACAGCGCGTTGCCCCCCCCCCCCCCCCCCCCAGCGCAGGAGCTTGTCACCTGCTGACAGCAGGCTGCTGTCTTTTCCGAGGGCTGCATCTTGCCGGTCATTATCAAGTGACAGCGACTAGTCGACGACAGGCATAAAAAGTCACTATAGTGAAGTCGACTAGTTCATACAACCCCTGCTACTGCTCCCCAGAGTGTTCTGCAGCATAATCAGCACGTTCTCTTTGAACTTGATATCAAATTTTCGCCTCCTCTTCATCTCCGCACGGTTAAAGTTACCCTCGCGGTCTATCACTGGCAAATCAAAAGTGAGACGATGGCACAACCGCCCTCTGTACTTGCTTGTTACCACATTCCACCCGGCCACAATAAGAGACCGGCCATTATTCACCTCCACCGACTCCGACACTGGCCAAAATATGAGACCAGGCAGTTAATTAAATACAGGCCTGTATTAGAGGATTTACGGTAAGCACGTTCTTGGTATCAAAATGAATCTTTAAAATTCACGGACATCATAGTCTGTTTCATTGCTTTGATCTTGGATCTGGAGCAGGAGAACTACTCCAGCTGCTTCTTGAGGGACAGAAGCTCTTTGAGGGCATAGATGGCTGGTGGGAGTGTGTCTACTTGTGTGTGTATGGGGGCTGGTACAAAACTTAAGGACAAGACCCTCCAGACCTGTTGTGAAGTCATGAAGCTTTTTTCAATCATCATTTATGAGAAAGTTGTGTGTGTGTGTGTGTGTGTGTGTGTGTGTGTGTGTGTGTGTGTGTGTGTGTGTGTGTGTGTGTGTGTGTGTGTGTGTGTGTGTGTGTGTGTGTGTCTTCACGATGACGATTCATGACGATTCACTTCTCGTCAGTGCCGCCTGCACTAGCTTGATAAGCAGCCTGTTTTCGCTCATGCTTTTCTTTTTCTTCACTTGAAAATAAGTAAATTTATAAAAGAGAATAATGTGCAGACTTTTCTTTCACCCATTCCTGGAGGTACTGATGCGTTTTAATCTACTCTTTATATGAAATATACAAACATTCTATGTGGTAAAAACAATCTTTATTTTTAGTGCGTCTCCTCTCAGCCTCACAGTTCATTGGTGGGTCACTGTGCTTTTTAATCCTAGTAATAATGTTTGTAAAATTCAGACTAAGGTAGATTTTTGTTTTAGAGCGTTTTCACATCATTGGTAGGGTCGCATGAATTTTTTTAATCAGACTTAATTTTATGATTTTTATCTTGTTGTCCACTTGTATGGTTTCTCAACATCTTGTGAGTTTATTTTCAAATATTAAAAAAAGTACAAATAAATACAGAAAATGTTTTTTCAGTTCAAGAGAGCAAAAATATTAGTTTGGACCTAAAAGCCCTCGGCTAACGTGTTTAGCTGTCGCTGGCTAACAGGCTAACTAACGCTAGCCCACAGTGCTGAGTCTTGCTTTCTCCATGTTTGTGTTTCAGGTAAAATCAAATATTCTGAGCGGGTTTATGACGCCTGTATGGAAGCCTTTGACTGCCTGCCCCTCGCCGCTCTGCTTAACCAGCAGTTCCTGTGTGTACACGGGGGGCTCTCACCAGAAATAAACTGCTTAGATGACATAAGAAAGGTCAGTGATTCACTCACTCTTTCCTTTCGTGTGTTCCTTATGAATCGAGTGTTTTCTAACATTTGATTACCCAGTTATCTTCTGTATGTAACTTTCCATTGCTCTGCTGTCCCGTCTGTGTTTAACAGTTAGACAGATTTAAAGAGCCGCCAGCATTTGGGCCCATGTGTGACCTGATTTGGGCTGACCCCGGTGAGGACTACGGCAGTGAAAAAACATCTGAACACTTCAACCATAATTCTGTTAGAGGCTGCTCCTACTTTTTCAGGTATTGGGTCAGACCTCTGATTTTAGAGCCCTACTACCTTCTGATTTTCTAAATGAAGTTCAGAACAGCCCGTGGGACTTTTGAAGACTGCATTTGGTTGTTTTACTGTAGAGTTCTGAGTATTTTTCTCATTAAACTATTGTAATGAATAATGGGTTTGGTGCTGACTAAAACCTTCAACTAACCACCGAGAGGTCGCTGGTTCACAATAGAAAGTCTTTTTATTAAAGCACAGCACAATAATCCCGCTGCACCAATAAAACTATCCCTCCACCAGAGCTCCACGTCTGCTTATAGACGACTGTTCTCCAAACAACGAGCGTTCTCCTCACCGGTCTTGTAGATCATTCTCGCGTTCATCCACACCTGATCAACTCCGCCTCCTTCACATCACACTATTTGAACAGTTCAGTTGTTTAAAGGAGACTTATCAGAGCTTTTCTTCTAGTTCTAATGTTGATACAAAACATGCTTATGTAGTGCTTTGCAGTAAATCACTCTCATACAGTTATTTTATTCATGATATTTTTAGGACCTTCCAGAATGAGTCGTTTCAGAGCTCAGTTACTTTAAGAAAACAAGCTACATCTGGACACGCCCACCGACAAGAGCAAGTTATGTGTTAAGCGAGTTTTTAAGAACATTTTAAACCAAATGAGTGAAATGTTGTTGTTTTTTTTAATCAGTAATGTGTCCCAGTTTACAGTAAAAAAACATCTCATTAATCTAAGGCTGTCATTATGATAAACCTAAACTTGTGCCTATCCATTCATTTTTAACATTGGTCTAGAATAATCCAGTCCAGGTTTGAAAAGTCTTGGTCAGTGGTCCTCAATAGGCGACCCGCGGGCTCCCTCTTTGTGGCCCCTGAACCCCGCGCGCACCCCACGCATGAATTTTTGTCCTAGTTTGCCCCTGAACAAATCCCACACTGGTTACCTTTATAATGAGACCAAAGGAATCAAATAGACCTGGTTACAGAAATATACTCAGTAACGTGTGGGTCTGTTATCTGTGCTTCACTGTGTTTGCAGTTATTCAGCCGTCTGTGACTTTTTGGTAAATAACAACTTGCTTTCAGTAATAAGAGCCCATGAAGCTCAGGATGCTGGGTAAGTGTTATAATGGTTGTTCATTTAAAGCATTTTACAGTTTCGGGACTAATAATCATGTTTAAATTTTGTTGCTGTGCAGGTATCGGATGTACAGAAAAAGCCAGACCACAGGGTTCCCTTCATTAATTACTATATTTTCAGCTCCCAATTACCTAGATGTCTACAACAATAAAGGTTATCAGCGTTTTTCCTGTTTTTATATAAATATCTAAGCATGAGATAAGATCCCACCCCTGAAATCCCCCGTTTTTGTCATTTCCAGCTGCTGTATTAAAATATGAGAACAACGTGATGAACATCCGACAGTTCAACTGCTCCCCCCACCCCTACTGGTTACCCAACTTCATGGATGTCTTCACGTGGTCTTTGCCTTTTGTTGGAGAAAAAGGTGCATTTAACCCTTAAATCTTCTAACGTTTTTGTCATTTGAGCAGTAGAAATGCACTAAGGCAGGGGTGTCAAACATGCGGTCCGCGGGCCGGATCAGGCCCGCATACAGTTTAAATCCAGCCGGCGAGATGATTGTGTAAACCTTATTTTCAGACTTTAAGTCTGAAAGCAAGCTTTCATTTTTCAATTCAACTGCTGGTGAAAGCTAAAAGATGTCAGGTATCAGGAGTCAAAGACATGCATGAAACTGACATAGCCATGTGATCTGTGAATCAGTTAATTTGAATTACTGAGGTATAGTCTGGGCTTTTTGTTTTGTATTTCACATTTTCAAATACACTTCAGGTGTTTTATTATTACTAGTGATGTTGTGCTTAAACTATTTTGGTTACACTGTCCTCAGGCTCCAGCTTTGTTTTATGTTTATTGTATTAAAACAAAGAAAACAATCTCAAGCAGTTTTTAATTTATACATACTTTATTTTTACGGGCCTGGCCCACTTGGAACTAGATTTTCCTCAATATGGCCCCTGAGCAAAACTGAGTTTGACACCCCTGCACTAAGGTCATATAAGGGTTAAAGATGGGGAGGCAGAGTTTAACTGTTTAGAGCAGTAGCTTATACACACACACACACACACACACAGAATTTAGGTTCTATTTACACAAGTGATAGTTTTAACAACACTCGTGTTTTGCTACTTGAGGCTTGTTTCCACGATCAGAACTTCAGGCTAATTTTACCAAACGGGTGACCGGCTCCCCTGGAAGCCCTCACCTTGCACACCCAGCAGGGGCCCGATAAAACACCCTGGTTGTACTTATATTACAATATTTATGGACTCTCTTGGGTTTCTTTGATTGGAGAGGATGCAGACGTAGACAGTTGAGCTCCAGGCAGCTGCATCCTGTGCATGGTCACGGTAACATTCTCAAAGTGTCGCCACCCAAAAAAATATAATTAACACCCAATCGTTTATGTTGGCTAATATCCTCTGGTGCTTTCTGTATTTGAATTGCCTGATGCGCTTCACTGCTGCGAAGCGGAGTGCATCGTCTGTATTGTTCTCTGGTGACTTCATGTCATTGGTGCGGCCGGCGCGCACTCTGCTAGTTTTTGCGGTGAAGTGAAAATTTAGAAGAAAACAAAACACGTGTTTGAAAAGGAAAACGTAGATTTTTCTCACTACAGCTGTTACCTTTTTAAAGCAATCATTCATAAGAAAGTAATATTTACACAGTTGTGGTCAGAAGTTTACATACACTTGTAAAAAATATAATATAATGGCTCTACTGAGTGTCCCGTTATTTCTAAAACACTGATTTTCCTCTGATAGAGTGATTGGAACAGATACTTCTTTGTCACAAAAAACATTCATGAAGTTTGGTTCTTTAATGTCTTTATTATGGGTTAACAGAGAAAAGTGATCACATTTGCTGGGTCACAAATATACATACAGCAGTGTTAATATTTGGTTACATGTCCCTTAGCCATTTTCACTTCAATTAGGCGCTTTTGGTAGCCATCCACAAGCTTCTGGCAAGATTCTGGTTGATTCTTTGACCACTCCTCTTGACAGAATTGGTGAAGTTCAGTTAAATTTGATGGCTTTCTGACATGGACTTGTTCCTTCAGCACTGTCCACATGTTTTCAATGGGGTTTAAGTCAGGACTTTGGGAAGGCCATTCTAAACCCTTATTCTAGCCTGATTTAGCCATTCCTTTACCACTTTTGATGTGTGTTTGGGGTCATTGTCCTGTTGGAACACCCAACTGCACCCAAGACCCAACCTTCGTGCTGATGATTTGAGGTTATGTTGAAGAATGTGAAGGTAGTCCTCCTTCTTCATTATCCCATTTACTCTCTGTAAAGCACCAGTTCCATTGGCAGCAAAACAGCCCCACAGCATAATATTCCCACCACCATGCTTGACTGTAGGCATGGTGTTCTTGGGGTTAAAGGCCTCACCTTTTCTCCTCCAAACATATTGCTGGGCATTGTGGCCAAAAAGCTCGATTTTTGTTTCGTCTGACCACAGAACTTTCCTCCAGAAGGTCTTATCTTTGTCCATGTGATCAGCAGCAAACTTCAGTCGAGCCTTAAGGTGCCGCTTTTGGAGCAAGGGCTTCCTTCTTGCATGGCAGCCTCTCAGTCCATGGAGATGCAAAACACGTTTGACTGTGGACAATGACACCTGTGTTCCAGCAGCTTCTAATTCTTGGCAGATCTGCTTTTTGGTGATTCTTGGTTCACTCTTTACCCTCCTGACCAATTTTCTCTCAGCAGCAGGTGATAGCTTGCGTTTTCTTCCTGATCTTGGCAGTGATGAAACAGTGTCATGCACCTTATACTTACAAACAATTGTTTGCACTGTTGCTCTTGGGACCTGCAGCTGCTTTGAAATGGCCCCAAGTGACTTTCCTGACTTGTTCAAGTCAATAATTCGCTTTTTCAGATCCATGCTGAGCTCCTTTGACTTTCCCATTGTAGCGTTTGTGGGCGTTTGTATCCAATGAGCCCTATTTACCTGGCCTAAGAGAAGTCACCAGCTGTAGTCACTCATAATCACTCACAAGAAGTTAAGAGGCCATGCTATGAAGCTCAGTTCACTGACACGTTTCTAAGTCACCAAAATTGCTAGTTCATGTTGCTGTATGTATATTTGTGACCCAGCAAATGTGATCACTTTTCTCTGTTAACCCATAATAAAGACATTAAAGAACCAAACTTCATGAATGTTTTTTGTGACAAAGAAGTATCTGTTCCAATCACTCTATCAGAGAAAAATCAGAGTTTTAGAAATAACGGGACACTCAGTAGAGCCATTATATTATATTTTTTACAAGTGTATGTAAACTTCTGACCACAACTGTATATTCGATACAACACAGACAAATCTGTGTAATTCGTACCCTGATTGCCATTAATATAATAGTTTTGCCCAGTTAACTGCTTCATTTAATATATTTTGGACACAAGAGCGCCGCTATGAAAATATGTTTACTGGGCAACCGCAGAAGAAGAAATTAGCTCGTCACATGACCAAACAAGTGTGCTTAAACATGAAGCGATTACCAAACGGCGTGGGAGAGTTTATTCTTAGTTATTTCATTCTTGGAACACAATAAACCTGGCATCAAAGCGCTGAACCTGGCAGAACAGGGCGCAGCAAACTGAACCGAGACTGGCGACAGGTCAGTCGGCCATGACGCTCCTGCTTGTGTCTGACTCTTAATTGGTCTAGTAAAATAAAGAAATATCAGTGTAATTATTTAGTTCAATGTAAGGAAACTAAAGTGTTTTTAAAATCCGTGGCCTCCAGAAGGCGCTTATTGCACGCAATCGCAAGCAGCGCTGTGTATTTGATGCCAGACGCTCAGCTGTGTGGGGTGTTGGTTGGTTTCCGGTTAACCGGCTTGTAACCGTTAAGGGGCGTCAATAACCGATTAAAGAAATTTTGGGAAACGTGCATCCCTAGGCAGTAAAATATCTATCTCAATAGAGGGGAGATGATACAAAGTGCACGGATGCTCTTTGGCACTGAATCAGTGACATCACTCACTGCTGAAGCAGTTTTGAAAGGGCTGAATTTGCATTGAGACACAACAGCTGAGAGGACCAGGCCATCGTATATCCCGGTTACTTTTTCTCCTCCCAGAATTTCTCCAGAACTCCAATAATGGAGGCACGACTTTGGCGTTCAGAGTGCTCCATGTAAAAGTCTTCTACTGTTACACAAAGATATTAGTTTTCTAAGTGAGAGTTCTGCATGGGCTAACGAAGGCTTGAGCTGCTGTCCTCTCTCACACAGTGACGGAGATGCTGGTGAACGTACTGAACATCTGCTCAGACGACGAGCTCATGTCAGAAGTAGACGACTTGTATGAAGGTAAGGAGGCAGTAGACGAGGTAGTGGCTCAGAATCAGCTGATTTTCTTCAGAACTGATTCAGCACAGTGATTGTTTTGTGTTTCTAAGTCGTTAAAGTTCCAAAAAGCCCTTTCCTCACCAACTAATCAGGTCAGACGTTTTAACATGACTGAGTGAAGTCACATAATTCCAACTATCTGTACTACTGGCTAAAATGTAATGAAAATGAGCACTTTTGTATTTTTATATAAATCCAAACATTACGCTGTAACCGTCTGGTCCTCTCTGTTGCCAGGTGGTTCCTCAGCAATGCGCAAGGAGGTCATCCGAAACAAGATTCGTGCTGTGGGGAAGATGGCCCGCGTCTTCTCAGTTCTCAGGTGCATTCTGTTTCTCCTAAGCATAAACGTGTGCATTTAAATGTGAGTTACGATTAGTCAATCTGCCTTTTCCTCAGAATATGGATTTGTAGCGCACATCTGGAACAGAGTGGCTTAAAACTGACTTAAGTCAGCAGGCTGCAACAGCCATCTTGATTTGGTCCAAGACGCACTGGCAAAAGCCGTGTCAGCCATTGTTGACCTTTTGGTCGTGGGGGATGAAACTGGAGACATGTGGCTTGAAGCCTTCAGATTAAACACAACTTAAACTGGTTTGTTTCTTTCATAAGTCAGTGCAGGAGCAAAGCAACGGTTTTAGCACAGGTGTTTCATTGTTTTTAAGGGTTTCTCAACATTTGGGTTCAAGAACCAGTTCAAATTAATTTCGTAGTGCAATTTATTCCTTGTCTCATTCATTGATTCCACCTTTAACTAAAAGCCCAAGAAAACAAGGCTCATATTATGAATTTTAGTCAGATCGAAAATGTCAAATGGAAAACCAGCCACAGGACCCAATCTACTTTAGTATTTTATTGGTCGTGTGTGTGTGTGTGTGTGTGTGTTGACACTACAGGTGTCGTGCCGATGGACTCAAGAAGGTGTATTTTTCTTTCCAGCAAACAGATCTTTATGGAGATGAGCAACACACGGAGCTAAGAGTGTCTGTAAACAAACACAGATCTGTTTACCAGAACCAGGTTTAACGGTCGTTCATATGAAGAGTTTATACAGACTGATCCTTTTCTCAGCTTTAAATGTATCAGTGTCACTTGCAAACAGAACGATTAAGTAACCACACTCATCTTTTCAAAATTCACAAAGTAAAACATAATCACACGAGGAATCAACGGGCCGTCGACTGGGTCTTCTCTTTCTGCCCGATGCAGGGCGGACCGATTCTGTCCACATAAACCTGACCCATTTCAGATTTTTGATCTGAGACCAAACTTGAAAATACAAAAGAAGTACCTTTTTGTTTATTGCTTTGAGTTAAAACAGATAAAATATTTTTTATTAAAACAACTGAAAGACTGAGTGCTACTGGGATTCGTTTGGACCTGTTAAATGAAGATCTATTAACAGTTTTGAGGTCAACAAAAAATTGAAAGAACATCACAAAATATGAAACAAAAATAAAAGAATCCAAACAAATTCTAACTCTGGTAATCAGTCCCTTGATAATCTTGCTTCAGCTGCTAAAACTGAAGTGAAAGTGCTCAGCTGACCCACATCCTAAAGCAGGACGCACATCAGCCGTTTGGTTGGAGGCTAAGGCCTAGGAAGATGTGCAGGTCTTCACTAGCCAAATATCAACAGACGGTTTACATCTACGTATCTGAGGGACAATAAAGGATATTTCTGTTCAATTCTATTCTAATCTATTTAAATCTGTTTTAATCTATTCTGGCCTGGTCTATTCTGTTCTATTCTATTCTGTTCGTTCTATTATATTCTGTTCTGTTTTAATCTATTCTGGCCTAGTCTGTTCTGTTCTATTCCATTCCATTCTACTCTATTCAGTTCTGTTCTATTCTGTTCTGTTCTATTCTATTCTGTTCTGTTTTAATCTATTCTGGCCTGGTCTATTCTGTTCTATTCTATTCTGTTCGTTCTATTATATTCTGTTCTGTTTTAATCTATTCTGGCCTAGTCTGTTCTGTTCTATTCCATTCCATTCTACTCTATTCAGTTCTGTTCTATTCTGTTCTGTTCTATTCTATTCTGTTCTGTTTTAATCTATTCTGGCCTGGTCTATTCTGTTCTATTCTATTCTGTTCGTTCTATTCTATTCTGTTCTGTTTTAATCTATTCTGGCCTGGTCTATTCTGTTCTATTCTATTCTGTTCGTTCTATTATATTCTGTTCTGTTTTAATCTATTCTGGCCTAGTCTGTTCTGTTCTATTCCATTCCATTCTACTCTATTCTGTTCTGTTCTATTCCATTCTACTCTATTCTGTTCTGTTCTATTCTATTCTGTTCTGTTTTAATCTATTCTGGCCTATTCTGTTCTGTTCTATTCCATTCTACTCTATTCTGTTCTGTTCTATTCTATTCTGTTCTGTTTTAATCTATTCTGGCCTAGTCTGTTCTGTTCTATTCTATTCTACTCTATTCTGTTCTGTTCTGTTCTGTTCTATTCTGTTCTGTTTTAATCTATTCTGGCCTAGTCTGTTCTGTTCTATTCCATTCTACTATATTCTGTTCTGTTCTATTCCATTCTACTCTATTCTGTTCTGTTATATTCTATTCTGTTCTGTTCTATTCTATTCTGTTCTGTTTTAATCTATTCTGGCCTATTCTGTTCTGTTCTGTTCTTACCCGGTTGCTGAGTCGTAACGTGTTTGTGTGCCTGTGTTTGGCTTGCTGATTAGGGAGGAAAGTGAGAGTGTGCTAACACTGAAAGGCCTGACTCCAACTGGAACTCTTCCTGTGGGAGCTTTGTCAGGAGGAAAGCAGACCCTCCAGACTGGTAAGAGTTGCTCTTATATGCTAATGAGCTGCAGTTTAACTCCGCCCCCAGGGACGTTTCCTCGCTTCTGGTCACAGTTTACTGGAAGGAAAATAAATGAACCACCACTATGTGTTACCGTTTCTGTGGCTCTTTAGACGCTCCAAAATTGCTCTTCATAGCTTTGGCAAAAAAAAAAGAAAATTAAAAAAATTTCATTAACTCATGTTTTAAATATGATTTTTAAAAATGTTTTAGTATCTTTTAGGCTTTTTCATTGACTAATTTCATTGAATATCCACAACAGAATGACATTCAAAGTACAAATAAAGTTATGGATCTATTTGTTTTTTTTTTTAACATAATTTTGGACAAAAATACATATTCCATTAGCAGAATTTTTCTTTTCTAATAATAGAATCAAAAGGGTGTTTTTTTATGATAACAAATGTCCACATTAGATATTTATGGAAAAGGAAAAAGAAAAACTATTCTTGTTTTTATTTTCAGGATTCTCACTTTTTCAGACCTAAATAAATAGAACTATTTTAGTGGACCGTGGATATTCCTCAGAAAGTAAAATTAGTCTTTTTTTTCTCTCCCAAAGGTCTTGTAACAGTTGTGGCTCTAAGCACGTTTTACTCTTGACTGAGGGGTAAAACTGCTCTTTGGACTGTAAAGGTTACGCATTGCTGTCTGGGTCTCACTTAAAAAAGGGAATTCCTAAAAAAGTAAAGGTCAAACAAAATAAAATGATCCCACATCTGTCACAGCTGGGATCAGTAAATCCCTTCTTTGGTCTTTTGAGGAGCAGAGCTAGTTTTCTTTACAATAAACAGTGGCTACACTTTCAGTCAAGCTCCTCTTTCCTTCATGTGGAAAAATATTTAGGGATTTTTGGGGTTGTGGCGGTCAAGCTGTCACCAAAAACAAGCAGCTAACCTTTTGATGTAAAGGCCAGCTCCTGGTGCTGCCTGCCAAAGGGCACGCTGGGAGCCACATCCAGGCACATCGAAGGCTCTCAGAAGCCTCAGAGGACCTGAAGGAGTATCCACTTGTTGTAACCTTTTGTAGAATGTCACTGTCCATCTTCACTAGAGTCTAGTTCAATATAGGTGGGAAGGTCTTTACTGTTATTTGGTTCTAGATTCAACATTTTCTTTTCCTCTTAACCCGATAGTTTATTTTCATTTACTTCTGAAAATCTAGAAACTTTTAGCTCACTGATGTGATTGTTTCCTTTTGCTGAAGGACAAAAACAAGCCTGACTTGAGTTCTAAACCAACTGCAACAAGGTGGTGAGATGAGAAAAAATCCTTTATGAATGAATATAAACTTCCATCATAAGAACAACGCGAGGAGGAATGTTATGAACATTGTAAGTACAATGTTAGGAACAATATTAGAACATTAGGAGCCTCGTAGGAACATTGTGAGAACAATGTTAAAAACAACGTTGGGAAGAGCATTGGGAATATTGTAGGAACAATGTTAGGAACAGCATAGATGAGGAACAAAATAGATGAGCCGAAAAAAAGAAGCAGCTGCGTTGACCTCTTCTGCTAACGCTAGCCCGACACTAGAGGATTTCATCACACTGCTGGCTAAGCATAAAGAGGAACTCGCGGCAGAGTTTAAATTGTCTTTCGACTCCCTAACTCCGAAACTGGATTAGTAATAGATGACCACTCAGCCCGCATTGTTTCGCTGGAGGAAAACACAACTATATCTGACCAACGACTCACGGAGCTGGAGGATAAGTACTACACGATGCAGAAGGAGAATAATTTAATGAAGGAAAAACTGGCAGATCTCGAGGGACGCAGCAGGCAACATAATGTCCGAATTGTGGGCTTACCTTTGGCGGCCCTCATCCGACGGTGTTTTTCTCTGAGCTCCTGGTGGAGGTCTTCGGTGGGGGTACATTCTCATCGCCGCCGGAGATGCATCGCGCTCACCGCATCACGGCTCCCAAGCCTCCCCCAAGTGGGAGACCCCGTCCTGTCCTCCTCTGCCTCCACCGCTACCAAGTCAAAGACATGATCATCCGCGAAGCTCGTCGGAGGGGGGATCTTTTCTACAAGGGCCCTTTGATCCGTATATTTGAGGACTACAGTCCGGATGTAGTGAAGCAGCGAAGCGAATACCGAGCCCCCATGGCGGAGCTGTACCAACGCGGATATCGCCCAACGCTGCTTTTTCCATCCAGGCTGCAGGTTACCCTTCCTAATGGAGACAAGAAATGGCTTCCGTCTGCCTTAGTGGCGGAGAAATTCATCAAGGAACTTGGCTGACACCACCTAGCCATTTGAGGGTAATATAATTTTCACTCTTTGCCCCTCCATGTTTGGGTTTGCCGTTGTTTGACTGCGTTGGCTGTGCATGCCAACTTATATATGAACATTAAGCTTCCTACCAGGTTAAAAAGGACATGTACAGAACTGTGCCGATCGGTTTATTGTTAAATGACCCCTGTGCGGGAGCAGGAGAGCTATATTGAAAGGAAGAATTACAATACGCTGATTAGCTTAGTTTATCAGAGGGGATGTTGTCTTTTGCAACAACTATTATATTTACATTTTTTATTTTATTTTCTCTTCTCTTCTGTTTTCATGTGCTGCATTTGTGTACCTGTGGCTTTTGTGGAGCATTTAGCTTATTTGCTATTTGTACTTTTGTATGAGGGCTGTTTATTTCATGAACGGTCATGCTGAGTTCCAATGATTCATCCGCACACAGCTGCAGATTTCTTAGCTGGAATGTTAAAGGGTTAAATTCTCCTGTGAAACGGAGAAAGGTTGTCATTCACCTACATTTTTTAAATACCATGATTGCATTTATACAAGAAACTCACTTAAAACGGACCTAAAACTGCGTTGTGGGTGGGTGGGGCAAACTTTCCACTCTTCATTTAATGGAAAGGCGCGAGGAGTAGCCATCTTAATCCACAAAAATATCCCTCTAGCAGTCACGGAGGTGGTGTCTGACCCCAATGGGCGTTATGTTATTGTTGTGGGTAAAATAGGAGGAAATAAAGTAGTTCTAGCCAATGTGTATGGACCAAATTGGGATAATGAGGACTTTTTTTAGAAACTTTTCTTCTCACTTCCCAATTTGAACAGTGGCCAGCTTATCATGGGTGGTGATTTTTACTGCTGTCTTAACCCAGCATTGGATCGCAGCTCAGTTAACCCAAGTCCTTTATCTAAATCAGCAAAAGCAATACAAATATTTATGCAGCAATTTGGAGTTCTGGATGTCTGGCGTCATCTGAATTCTGCCACGCAAAAAAAGTTCTTTCTTTTCTCATGTACATGGAACCTTTTCACGAATTGACGTCTTTCTGGTAGATAAAAACTTCTCTCCTCAGTTAACCATTGTGATTATGCCGCTGTAGTGATATCGGAACACGCTCCGGTTATTTTGGACATATCATTTCCGGATACTCCAATAATGCGTTCCTCCTGGCGTTTCAATTCTTCACTACTTAATGATTCACACTTTGTTGAATATATTATATCTCTACCAATGTAACCCCAGATGTGATGGCCGCAACGATATGGGAAGCTTGTAAAGCCTTCTTAAGGGGGAAGATAATAGCTTACACTGCTTATAAAAATACGATAGTCTCCCGGAGGAGGCAGGCTCTTTACAGCACTACATCATTGCTGCAAATTAAGTGCGAAGAGTCCCCATCGGCTGATCTGGTGAAAGAGCTTCTAATAAAGAACTCTGAATTCGATTCTATGGCCACTGATGAGGCTGTCCAGTTAATCACCAGGACCAAGCATGGTTATTACGAATTTGGGGATAAGCCAACTAAAGTCCTCTCCCACTGGATCCGCCAGTCCTCTACTGGGCAGTGTGTCTCGGAGATCTCTGGAATTGATGGGTTTTCCGCCGACGCCCAGAAAATTAATGATCGATTTAGGGACTTTTATTCGTCTCTTTATACATCTGAAAATTTGCCTGGTGACGCACATTTTGATGACTTTTTCAATGGGCTGATGATCCCGACAGTTGCCCCAGATATTGCGGTGCACCTAGATAAACCATTTACTGCAGGTGAAATTAAAACTGCAATTATGTCCATGCAAAGTAGAAGGTGTCCAGGGCCCGATGGTTTTCCGTCGGAATTTTATAAGGCTTTTATTGACAAATTATCCCCCCTTTAAAGAGGCAGCTGAATCTTGAATCCTACCGCTATGACAGGCTGCAATTTCCTTAATTCCAAAAAAAAGGTAAGGACCCTCGCTTCTGCAGTAACTACCGTCCTATTTCTTCACTGTGTGCAGATGTTAAAATCTGGGCCAAAATGTTGGCGAGATGCTTGGAATTGGTAATACCTTCAATTATTAATCCAGAACAAACAGGTTTCGCCAGGACCAGACATCCATACCACAATTTGAGGCGCTTACTTAATATTCTGTATTCCTCTTCATCATCTGACACTTCGGAACTGGTCACATCTATGGATGCTGAAAAGGCTTTCGACCGGGTGGAGTGACCCTATTTATTTTATACCCTAAAACGTTTTGGGTTTGGTCCCACTCTTATCTCTTGGATTAAACCATTGTATACTTCACCAATGGCACAAGTTCGTACGAATAATTATTCCTAAAAGCCTTTATCCCTAGGTCGTGGGACTCGCCAGGGGTGCCCTCTCTCTCCATCTTTGTTTGTAATAGCAATAGAACCGTTGGCAGTAGCCCTTAGGGCGAGTGCCATGCAAGAGTGTCGTTGTATGCGGATGATCTATTGATCTTTATGTCGGACCCAGATAACTCCATTTCTCCAATTCTATCTTTGCTGAGGGACTTTGAACAGATATCCGGATATAAGCTTAACTTTGATAAAAGTGAAATCCTTCCGATTAACTCAGCTGCGACAGCATACCCACTTTCTAGTCTGCCCTTTAAGGCTGTCTCGCAAAGTTTTAAATATTTGGGTATCCATGTAACCAAGGACTTCTCAAAACTTTTTAAAACTAACTTTGACCCTCTGTTGGTGCAGTTGGCTCAGGATTTGCAGTGCTGGTCTATGCTGCCTCTTTCTTTAGCAGGAAGGATTAGCTGTATTAAAATGAACTTCTTGCCAAGATGCCTGTATCTCTTTCAATGCATCCCGGTGTTCATTCCAAAGTTTTTTTCAGACTCTTGACAGTTCTATTTCACAGTTTTTATGGGACAAAAAACCTCCCAGAATGCACAAGAGCCTTCTACAAAAAAGTAAGAACCTGGGGGGCCTTGCCCTTCCAAATTTTCAGTACTATTATTGGGCTGTTAATATTCGCACAATGCTATTTTGGTGTCAGACCAACTCTACTGAGCCAATTTGGCTGCGACTGGAGGAGGCCACATCTGACTCTGCCTCTTTGCTCTCTCTCCTGTGTCTCCCTTCAAACGTTAGCCTGCATTTGTACACTAGCAATACTATAGTTAAAAACTGTCTTAAAATTTGGTCTCAAATGAGGTGTTATATTAAAACCCAGGGTATACCTTTGCACTCACCGTTTGACCAGAATCTACTTTTTCCCCCATCCCTGTTAGATAAAACTTTTGTGGTATGGAGGAGTCACGGGCTGATCCATGTGAAGGACTTTTTTGTGGGTGGCGTTTTGGCCTCAATTACACAGCTGTCGCTTAAATACCACTTGCCAAATTCACATTTTTTCTGGTATCTGCAGGCCAGGGACTTTATCAGAAAATATTTCATGGAGATTAAACCCTCCCAGAAAGGAGCAATATCCAAACTTTATAATTTTCTTCTCTCCATGTTTGTGGCACGATCTGATCATCTCCGTGTTGCTTGGTCCGAGGAATTTAACATGCAGATTAATAACAGCCAATAGGAATCACCCCTAAGGCGTATTCACTACTCCTCAATTTGTGCAAGGCACTGCATACTTCAGTGTAAGGTAGTACATAGGATTCACTGGTCCAGAAGCAGATTGGCTCAAATATTTCCAGGTACAGACTCTAACTGTGTAAAATGCAAACAGGGTCCAGCTAATCTCACCCACATGTTTTTAACTTGCACTGCCCTGTCAAAATTCTGGGACTCTATTTTTAATTCACTCTCACTTATTGTGTCTTGGAGGGTTCCACGATCCCCACTGACGACTTTATTTGGGGTGCTACCTGCTGGTCACTCCTTGCCACCTCACTTTGCTAATCTGGTTGCCTTCCTTACGCTATTAGCAAGGAGAGGTATCCTGATGAGTTGGAAAGACCCTCACCCACCGACCCACTCCCACTGGATTAAAAACGATGCCCTCTATTTTATGAAACTAGAGAAAAGAAGGTTCATCCTGAGAGGCTCTGAAACTGACTTTGCCAAAATTTGGAGGCCGTTCCAAAACCATGTGACCTCTGTGACACTCGACATGGACACTTAACCTTGGCCTTGTAGAGCTATCACCGGCATAGCCACACGTTGGATGCCTATTTGTTACCGCAGCGCATGAGTGTTTTATTTTTATTTATTTATTTTTTCTTTCTTTTCTTTTCTTTTAGTGTGTAGGTATGTGGATGTGATGTAACTGTGGGAAAAGTTATGAATAAATCATATACAAAAAAAAAGTTCTGAAAGGGCTGAATTTGAATGGAGACACAGCAGATGAGAGGACACACAGTGCTACTATTTCCCCCTCCCAGAGTTTCCCCTGAAGTTCCGAAACAGAAACACACCTATTCAGAATAACATCAGTTCAGGCGATGATGGCTCTTATCCTGGGTACTAGATCATCCAAACTCCTCTGAGCTCCACCACAGCTGGCCTCACCTCCTCCTGACCCTTTAATACCAACAGTGCTTTAACTCTCCCTCAGCCATCTTAACCTTAAATACACCCCCTCCCCCGACCCTTCACGTTGCTGTGAGTTTAGTCTTCATGTGCGGTAGCTGATGCACTGCACTGTATTTCCTGTTGTTAACTTTGACTAGTTGATGAATTTCTGTTTTTTCTCCTTCTTCTTCCCCACTTTTACTAACAAAGCTACCATTGAAGCAGCTAAAGCTAAAGGTATGCATCTGCTGTGTGGCTCCAGTTTCTTCTTTGTGTGTCACATTTAGAAAAAAAACACTATTTTTACTACATTGCTTTGTGACTTTTGTGACGTTTTTATGATTAATTATCGTTTTACTATACATTTAATAGTCTTTTGCTCTTGCACCATCAGTATCTGTTAATCACATTAGGTATGACTGTTAAAATATACTGTTGGTAAAAAAATGGAACATGGTTAAGATTAATGGGTGCCAACCTGTTTCTTTCTACCCCGGAATGCACATTAGTTTTGTTTAGGGCTGCAACAACGAATCAATAAAATCGATAAAAATTAACGGCAAAATTTGTTTGCAACACCATCCTGTTTGTTTATTCAGTTTAAGATGTCTGCTTTGAGTCTGCTCTGCCAAACCGCTGCAGAAGTTTAGCAAGCCCCTGTAGCATGTAGTTCACAAACATGTCTTATCTTTTAACATAATTAAAATTGGACTATTGCTAACTTGTACATAATGGACATGTCACCATTGCATTTTTAGCAGTAGAAATAAAATTTTATTAGCATTTCTAGTAGCTTACTACTGAATATGTTAATAATATACATAAAATTTACTGATCATAGTTTAATTATTTAGGTGATAACTTGTTGTTTTGTACACGATTGAAATGTTATTCGTTTTGTTGTTAAAGTAAAGGAGAGAAAAAAATTTCCCTAGCAGTTTTAAAATTTCATCGTTTGATCCGATTAATCGAGTTAGGATTCCATCCGATTCATCGATGATCCAATTAATCATTTGTTGCAGCCCTCGTTTTGTTTGTAGGCACATGTAAAGTTATGTGTACGGAAGAGGATTAGGGCCACTGAAAAGAATAAAAGTAAAGATTGAGAATTCTGACTTTTTCTCTCAGAATTCTGATTTTATTTCCTTCTTCAGAATTCTGACTTTAATCTCAGAATTTTGACTTTTTTTCTCAGAATTTTGACTTTAATCTTGGAATTCTGACTTTCATCCATCCATTCATTGTCTGAACCCGCTTTGTCCACGTAGGGTTGCGGGGGGGCTGGTGTCTATCTCCAGCGGTCAATGGGCAATCAGGTGGGGTACACCCTGGACAGAGAGCCAGTGAATTCTGACTCTTTTCTCTCAGAATTCTGACTTTAATGTTAAAATTTGGACTTTTTTCTCAGAAATTCTAACTTTATTTTCTCTTCAGAATTCTGACTTTTTTTTCTCAGATTTCTGGCTTTAATAATTCTGAGAAAACACATCATAGAAAAAAGTCTGAATTTGCTTTCTTTACTTTTTTCTTTTCAGTGGCCCAAATCCTCTTCTGTAAAGCTGAAAGATAGTTTTGTTAATGAGAAGTTCCCGGCTGTGGTCTCATTGGTCTTCATAGTCAACAATTGTCAAGCAGAGAGACAGGGCTAAGATAAGATCAGGGACATCCCTGCCAGGGATATTTCCATGAGCTAATCCTGTTACACCCCTTGGCTGCTGGCTGCTGCCGCTCTGTCCGCCTCTCCTGGTCATTGCTGGTGTTCAGCCACTCTGCAGGTTTGTAAACGACTGAATTGACTGGGAGTAAATCATTCTGTGTTTCCTCTTGACATAAAGGGGCGGAGAATCCAGCCAGCACACGTGTGTGTGTGTGTGTGTGTGTGCGTGTGTGTGTGTGTGTGTGTGTGTTGTTTATCCCTCTGAATGTCCCTTTTTAAAAGTAAACAATACAGAACAAGGACCTTTACATTAGGGAGTTAAGACAGGATCCTATCTGTGCCCCCATCTCCCCATGTATCATTTATTAGTCATCCAGTCCAAGTCTTTGTGTCACTAAATCGTCCTTTTCTTCCATAATGAAACTCATAAGTCCTGCAGTGAGTTCACCACTGCCCTGACTTTCTCCATCCTGTGAGGTCCATCCATGAGCTTGGAGTTGGGTTCTCCTGTGAACAACACTTTTAGAGATGGCCTCTTTGCTCAAAACCCGCAAGATACCAAATAAATATTTGTCCTTTTTGACCACCCTTCCAGTACCCATCCAAACAAAATAATGTTACTTTCTGAAGGTAGATAGCTGGGGAGTTCCCTCCATAATCAGATCAAATTTTTATCTAATTCTTCTATTGGTCTTCTATTGGCCTAAAGGTTGTTGAAGGATTTTTGTGGGAACTGGCTCTTCCTGGACCAAATCTAGCACCGCCCCCTCCAACCGCCGCCGTACGGGTAGTTATCATGGTTTGAGGCCACATCGCCCAACCCTATCAGAATGTTTTTACTGTAAGTTTGACCAAAACACCTTGTTTAAAAACTGATTGTTGTTTTCACAGCAAACCTTTACAGAGACGATGTTTTATAGTCAAGTTACTGGTGTGTTCATTTCCTGTTTACATCCAACCTCGTCTGGAGCGAGGGTCACACAGCTCAGTCTGATGAAGGCTTTGTGGAGGCTTGACATGGGGGTTCCTGTGTGTTGGGCCCTCCCTTTAAGAGGCATTTCTTTTCAGACCACCGTGTTAAGAAGGCACTAAGGGTAAAAGACGGGGATCGAAGAGGCAGACCATGTTAACAGATAACTGGTTGTGCAAGAGTCTTTATTTCTAATGAATCCACTCTTTGGATTTATTCTATTAAAGTTGACAGGTGAAATGTCTGAACAGTGTTTTGAAAGAAACCTCACACGTTTGCTTTTCGTTTGCACACGTTCTCTGGTTCCGTTGGCTGTTTGGGAACGTGACCGTAAGTCTCCCAGCGGTTTTTCTTGTTGCTTGTCCTGCTGGTGTTTGGACTCTAGAAGTCCTACAGGTGAAGCTAGAACAAAGAGAATTTGGAGTCCACTTATGTCAGCAGTCCAGCTCAGACTGCGAGACCAAGGCTCAGGAACCCTCTGCAGGCGTGGGGTTTTCCATGAGCTGTGAGCCATAAAGGCTGAAATGTCTGGCTTTGCCCGGAATGAGTCTGTCTCATAGATCAGTTTAACCTTTTAGGTTCAGTTACTGACATAAATTAGCTTTAGCACCAGATTCTCATGTTTGGAGTTTCACCTGTATATACCGTGCATGTGCTGTAGTAAATGATGCTCTGCTAAACAGTTTTGAGCTCGTCTTGATCTGAAGGTTCAGCTCAGTTTTGTGGAGAAAAAAATATCTCCTTAAAGTAGATTTTTAGCTTTTCTTTCTTTGTTTCCTCTTCCTTCCAGCCATTCAAGGCTTCTCTCCCACAAGGAAGATTCGGAACTTTGAGGAGGCCCGAGGCCTGGACCGGATAAACGAGAGGATGCCGCCGCGCAAAGATGGCAAGCAGCCAGACGGCACCACCATCAGCACCAACTCCCCCAACAACAACGGCACTGATGGATAAGCAGTTAAATGTAACCTGCACCCTTCTGACATGCTGTCTGTCTGTCTGCCTGCTGAAACTGTCTGTGTTCTGCTCCCCCACAGTGACTCAGACAGGAGGCCCCGGCGCTGGAAAAACAAACAGGATGTGCTGCTCCAGGAAAATCTGATCTTATTTATGAAAGTTTATTAGATTAACTGTTGAATAGTTACGAACACTTTGATTTGATGAAACGTGATCGTTGTACCGACACGACTGAAAAAAGAACTTTTATGAGATGTTTGTTTGTTATTCAAGAGTTTTAGTGACCTTAAGGTTGTTTTTTATTGTAGTTCTTTCTGGTTTTAAGAGAAACGACCAACTTCTGTAGCCTCGAGCCCAGAGGCGTGTGAGGCTCTACAGACCGTGGTACGTTTACTTGTCAGAGGAAAGCTTAGTGATGTGCTTGAAAAGCTGAAAACAATGAAATAAGGGAAGAATTTTTTTAGAATTAAAGGGATTATTAAATCATTTTATACTCAAAGCAGAACTCCTAAAAGATTAAAAGTCCTATTAATACATTTCCAGTGCATTCCTAAAAATGCTGAATGTTGTTTTTTTTACTTCCAGAGAAAAAGTTTCCTGGTAAATGATGGATTAATGCTTAGTGTGGTTTTTGTCCCTGTCTCCTGGTTTGGACTTCATCTGATGGCAGCTTGGAAGTTCTTGCTTCTAGGAACTAGAAGTGATGATGGTCCTTATCAAAAACGCTGAATAAAACCAGCCCAACAAGCCGGGAGTTCTCCCACATCCCCGGTGGATCCAGCAGCTGCAGATTAAGCTGACTTCTGGGTCGGAGGACTTGAAGGAGATGAGACAACCAACTTTTGCTAAAGAAACCAGATTTTTGCGATTGTCTTATGAAGCGGGGGACTAATCAGAACAGACTGGTGTTCATGGTTTGATAAGAAGCAACCGTGTTTTCTACAGAATCGTAGCAGTTTGGTGGTTTTTCCTGAAACACTAAAAACCTGGTTTGACGTTTTGAGGTTTTCTTTTGTCTCGGTGTTCCCGTCCACACAGTGTGCTGATTGTTTTTACTTCGTAGCCATGAATATTAAACAGGAGAATCGTTAGAAATGGCAGCACTCAGATGGTGCCAGACACAATGGACTGAGTCATTCCTCCTAGTGGGATGATGATGATGATGATGCTATAAAAGGTTCCACCTCCACACTTACAGCTGTCTGTCAGAGCATCTAATCACACATCACACCATCTCAGGCTCAGCTCACTCAGACATGTCCCACCGTGGTGGGGAGTACTGACACCTGCTGCTTTTAGAGGTCCTCCTTATACTCCCAGCCCTTTAACACCTGCTTTTGCTGCAGGATGTAAAACTGGTGCTCTGACACGCCTCGCTGTAACCCGCTAACTTCATGTCAGCGTAGGAAGACAAATCAGCGTTAGGACGCGCTGTTCTCGTAAATGTATTCTTGTTTCATAAGATAAAAACATGTGCCATGCCATCTGAGCCGCACATGTTAAGATCTGTGTGTGTGTGTGTGATAGTGTGTTTGCACATGTGAGTGTGTGTGTTTGAGGATGTGTGATAGTGTGTGTGCACATGTGAGTGTGTGTGTTTGAGGATGTGTGATAGTGTGTGTGCACATGTGAGTGTGTGTGTTTGTGAGGATGTGTGATAGTGTGTGTGCACATGTGAGTGTGCGTGTGAGGTTGTGTGGTGAGTGTGTGTGTTTGTGAGGATGTGTGATAGTGTGTGTGCACATGTGAGTGTGTGTGTTTGTGAGGATGTGTGATAGTGTGTGTGCACATGTGAGTGTGTGTGTTTGTGAGGATGTGTGATAGTGTGTGTGCACATGTGAGTGTGTGTGTTTGTGAGGATGTGTGATAGTGTGTGTGCACATGTGAGTGTGTGTGTTTGTGAGGATGTGTGATAGTGTGTGTTTGCACATGTGTGTGTGTGTGCACATGTGAGTGTGTGTGTTTGTGAGGATGTGTGATAGTGTGTGTGCACATGTGAGTGTGTGTGTGAGGATGTGTGATAGTGTGTGTTTGCACATGTGTGTGTGTGTGTGTGTGTGTGTTTGTGAGGATGTGTGATAGTGTGTGTGCACATGTGAGTGTGTGTGTGTAAGGTTGTGTGATAGTGTGTGTTTGCACATGTGAGTGTGTGTGTTTGAGGATGTGTGATGGTGTGTGTGCACATGTGAGTGTGTGTTTGTGAGGATGTGTGATAGTGTGTGTGTGCACATGTGAGTGTGTGTTTGTGAGGATGTGTGATAGTGTGTGTGCACATGTGAGTGTGTGTGTGAGGTTGTGTGATAGTGTGTGTTTGCACATGTGAGTGTGTGTTTGAGGATGTGTGATAGTGTGTGCGTGCACATGTGAGTGTGTGTTTGTGAGTATGTGTGATAGTGTGTGCGTGCACATGTGAGTGTGTGTGTGTGAGGTTGTGTGATAGTGTGTGTTTGCACATGTGAGTGTGGGTGTTTGAGGATGTGTGATAGTGTGTGTGCACATGTGAGTGTGTGTGTGTGTGAGGTTGTGTGATAGTGTGTTTGCACATGTGAGTGTGTGTGTTTGAGGATGTGTGATAGTGTGTGTGCACATGTGAGTGTGTGTGTTTGTGAGGATGTGTGATAGTGCGTGTGCACATGTGAGTGTGTGTGTTTGTGAGGATGTGTGATAGTGTGTGTGCACATGTGAGTGTGTGTGTGAGGTTGTGTGATAGTGTGTGTGCACATGTGAGTGTGTGTTTGTGAGGGTGTGTGATAGTGTGTGTGCACATCTGAGTGTGTGTTTGTGAGGATGTGTGATGGTGTGTGCACATGTGAGTGTGTGCGAGTCCCTGTGTGCACGTGAGTAGGCCTGAGACGATAACAAATTTAGCTGGACGATATATTGTCCAACAACTTATTGACAATATTTGATATTGTTGTGGCCATCGAGACCAAAATGGTCACATATGTAATTTTAATATATCATAATGATGCAAGGACACCTTTAACCTTTATTTTACTTAAGTTACGCATTTGTAATGAAACGTCTGAGCTCCGTTTGTTTCCTTTGAGGTCGCATAGATCTACGTTATTGATTGTAGAGAATTTCTGAAAATGCCGATCTCTAGCCTCCTTCAGGTTATCCTGTAAGTTCCCCTGTATCCTTGTTCCTTTCATCCATCCTTTCGACTCTTCTGCTTCACTTGCAGCTGCAGTGAGTCATACACCAAAAATGGTGCTAAGGGGGTGTGGTTAATATGCAGGTCATGTATCTGACACAGACCGCCAAATCGAGGCGGGAAAAATTATTCATTTCATTTTTATCTATCGTACGATTTATTGATTTATTGATTATCGTCCCAGCCCTACACGTGAGTGAGTGTGTGTTTGTGAGGATGTGTGTTAGTGTGTGAATCCAGCCAGGAGGGTCAGTCAGCATCAATAATACCCTTCAGTCACTTTAAGGTTTCCATGGTGATGTTTTAGTGAAATAAGGTGTTTGGGCGAGCCGTACAGTGAACCTGTCGGGTCTTAAAATGTTCATCTTATCAAATCTGAAACCCTAAAGGTGAAAAGCTGCCGTGGAACCTCCACTTGTATCGCTCTGAGGGAAAGACTATGGTCATTTATTCAGCTTGTACCATGTTGACTCATTAAAGTTGTTTCTGAAACCGTCTCTTCTTTCATGTAGAGCATCATCTGTGACACCTGAGCACCAGCTGATGCAGAGACACCTAGTCTTTAGAAAACAATCTACTCCTGGTTATCTTGTCGTTTACTGAGACTTGGATGCTCTGGTTTAATGGCAGTGTTTATTTTTCTGCTCTATAAGCTGATTAAACAAGTCGACATCCACAGATCTTTAATTACAGGATCTTAAAGCGACTGCATGGTTTATACATGTGGCAAGGTGGATAAGCGAGGCCCCGGGCGGGATTCGATCCCCAGACTCCCGGGTGAGAGTCATACACTCTAACCAGTCAGCCAAAGGGACATCCCCTTGGCCAAGTAGCCAGGGCGCATGATCAGTCGGGACACTGTGACAGGACGCTCACACTGTCACATACAGAGGGAGGGGCCTTTCTGAGCTCCTGGAAAACGCCTACCAGGGATGGAACAACAACATCCTCGTTGAAGCTGGAACAGTAATCTGAAGTCCAGGTCATCGGGGTGACGCTGTTACTGAATCAACTCGGCTGTTTGAGTGTTTTTAATTGTAATTCCTTAATAAATTATAACTTTTACTTTCACGTGTTCTGGTTCATCCTGAAGCTGTGATCATTACAGTGAGGGAACCCAGAAGTGGGCAGACTATTGCCTCTGAAGACGTTTAAACTTGTGTAACCAGCTTCTAATCACTTGTGTCTCATCAGCAGGCAAAGGGCCGGACCTAGCTTTCATTCTGCTGTGGTGCTCTGTAGTCTGAGCAAGACCTTCAGATGTTCATGAGTCCAACCTGCTGCACTTCGTGGGCGTGTTTGCACAGAATGTTTTGTTAATCCGCTGCTGAGACGCAGGAGTAATGGTGCAACTGGGACACACCTGAGAGTATCTGAAGATCCTGCTTAGGTTTAATGTGTGTTGAAAAAATATCACTAAACATTCAGATGAAGTCATTTCAGTGTTTCTAAAGACATGGCTTTAACGCAGCAGGCTGCAGTTCATCTCTTGGTGCCCCAGTGACCGGGGGGGGGGGGGGGGGTCTGTCACTGGATAAGGGTCCGATCGTACCCAGCACCTGTAACTACCAGACACTGTCCCGCAAAAGGGGCTAGTGTTTGGATTATCAGGTGTGTGTGTGTGTGTGTGTGTGTGTGTGTGTGTGTGTGTGTGTGTGTGTGTGTTTTAGAATCCTCATGAAGTGCTTTGTAGACTCTAAACAAGGTTAAAAGGCACTTCACACATGCTGATCCTATAAAAGCAGAAATATTAACAAGTCATGAGCTTTTATCTACATGTGTTGCATCAGAACAGGTTCTGCCGCTAAAGTCCTGCTGTTTATAAAAATGATGCTTTAGAAAATAAAACATGAATCCCTGGGATAAACTCTTAGTGGCTGTGAGTCCAGATTGTCCCTCCAGCAGGGACAAAAGTCTTGGTTGAAGGACGACCGTGTCTCTGTGGACGGTCAGCCTCGTCTTCCTGAGACCGGGTCTCCCTGGGTTCTTGTGGCTGGCTCTGTGCTGCATGTCACACCTTTGGTGGAGGCACTGGCCTCAGAGCCTAGTGGACAGAAACAGGTGGATTTAAAACTCAAAGCTATGAAACCGCCGGTAGAACCGCATTTATCCAGCTCCACAACGGTCCTGTATGTCCTCTGTAGAGGCGTGACCAAGTCACTGCTTTGCAAGTCACAAGTAAGTCAAGTCTTTCCAGTCAAATCTCGAGTTGAGCCTAAAGTCAATGATGTGGAGTCCAAGTCAAGTCCAAGTCCTTAACTTTGAATTTTTAAGTCATAATCAAGTAATCTGTCCAACTTCAATTTAATGACAATGATAATAAATTCCAGAAATAAAACTTCTTAAAGCTTCATTTATTTGCTCAAACAAGCAGAAAGTTCAAATAGCTGCTGCATTCAGCAGAACAAGATCAAACCCAGAACCAAGAATGATTTAGGATTTTTGTCCATGTTGTGCCACTTTAGTGCAAAAATATCAAATATGCTCAAGTCAACAGATTCAAGTCGCAAGTCATTGACATTCAAGTCATGAGTCTATAAATTTTATCAAGTCAAGTCAGAAGTCATTAAAATAATGACTCGAGTCCAAGTCATGTGACTCGAGCCCACACCTCTGGTTCTCAACTGTCCGTGTGAAAGTGGAAACCGTTTGTTTTTGGTGAAATGATGAAAATGTGCAGTAAAAAGATGGAATTGTCAACTAAGTTTGAAACAGTCTTTTTTGTGTTTGCTTTATCTCTGACAACAGCCTGACTTTCCTCTGCTTGACTGAAACTTGGCAATCAGCTACGACTTTTCTCTGCTCAATGACTCCTGCCCCTTTGGATATGCTTACTCAAACGACTGTCTGCAATCGGCATTACCAATACCCTTATGGTTCAAATCTTATCTTCATCACGCACCCAGTTTATACAACTTCACACTTTTCAATCTCGCCCTTCTCCAGTGACTTCCGGTGTTCCACAAGGATCTGTTCTCTGCCTCCTCCTTTTTATCATCTATCTACTTCCCATTGGCAGAATTTTTCGCAAACATAATGTTCAATTTCATTGTAATGCTGACGACACTCAACTCTATCTTGCCACCAAGCCTTCCAGTACACTTCCTCCATCCTCCCTCACTGAATGTATCTCTGACATTAGTTCCTGGCTTTCCTCAAATTTCCTAAAATTAAACTGCAATAAGTCCAAAATCCTTTTAGTTGGCTCTAAACCACCCTTTCTATAACCAACAATTTTTCCTTTACCATTGATAACTCTTCACCTTCACCCTCCCTCTCAGTAAAAAGCCTGGGTGTCATTTTGGACAGCACACTTTCATTCCAGCAACACATCAAATATACCATTAGAGCTGCTTACTTTCACCTAAGAAATATTAACCGTCTCCGTCCTTCTCTCTCTCCTCAGACTGCTGCTACCTTGGTCCATAGCCTAGTCATAAGCCGTCTTGATTACTGCAACTCCCTTGTATTTGGCCTCCCCCTGAAATCCATCAACCGCTTACAACTGGTCCAGAACTCTGCTGCACGGGTAGTCACCCGAACTCCCGCATTTCACCATATCACCCCTGTCCTGAACAAACTCCACTGGTTACCTGTCAAATCCAGAATAGAATACAAACTCATGTTGCACACATTCAAATCCATCCATAATCTTGCTCCCCTTTATTTATCTAATCTGCTTAAAACTACCTCCTCCTCTCGCTTACTTCGTTCCTCTGCTTCACCACACCTTGTTGTTCCCAGGATCAGACTCAGTACTATGGGGGGTCGAGCATTTAGCTACTCCGCTCCTTAGCTCTGGAACTCTCTTCCACCTAATATCAGGAACCTCGACTCTCTCTCCACCTTCAAGGCGCACCTTAAAACCCATCTGTTCCGGCTGGCATTCTCTTAGTTATTTTATTTGTATCTTTTAACAATGCTGAATAATTGACTGGACTTGTTTTCTTTGTTGTTTCTGTGTTTGTCAATTGTTATTTGTACAGTGTCCTTGAGAGTCCTGAAAGGCGCTTCAAATTAAATGCATTATTATTATTATTAGTATTTAAAACGGAAAACGGCTCAGCAGAAACTGCTCCTCTACATCCATCATCAGTCACCTTAACCAATGAGGGGACAGCTTTTTGGCTGCGAGGTGTTCTCACACCTGAGATAATGGCAGTGTGAGGTAGTGGCACACACGTACCAGTACATGGTGCTGGAGTCTGTCCTGTCTGTAAAGCTAATGTCCTGCTCAGAAATACTAACCAGACGGTTATCACAGCCCAGCTGAGGACTCGTGGTTATGTAACAGGGTTAACAAAGATGACCTGCCACCATTATGCTTTTAAACGGATGTTCAAAGTCAAACTAAGTGAAGATTGAGAGTGACAGTAGGGTTAGGGGCTGTGTGCAACAGGGTGAAGCCAGTGTGTGTTTTAATGGGACAGACTGATATTTCACACCTCTCAGGGTTTTCTGAATGTTAGCCGTTTGACCTGTTTTAATGGTTTTGAATGCCTGGACCTGCGCTGAATCCTCTTTATACTATTTGTGACTTTGTTCACTTTTAAGAAGTGGTTTGTTTTTGCTGTTTTCCCCAGAATTGCACAAGTGTTCCTAGTTTATGCTCTCTGTGTGCAGTTTCTGCTTTCTGCAAAGTGTTTCTAAGGTCAAACTTCAAATCACAATTAACCTTAAAGAGCTCTTTCACTTGTATTTTCATGACATCTGCAGTGGTCTCTAGTAGGAATGAATGCCTTGTAAGTCGTACTCTGGGGAATCAATGGTAAATGGCCTGTATTTGATATAGCGCCTTCTAGAGTCCTGGAACCCCCGAAGGCGCTTTACAACACAATCAGTCATTCACCCATTCACACACACATTCACACACACAGACTCATTCGAGCGTCTACAGAGAGAGCAAAATGTGGCGGCTAGGTTCCTGACAAACACCTCTAGACGCTGTCACATTTCACCCGTCCTTGCACGCTTGCACTGGGTGCCTGTTAAATACCGCATCCAATTTAAGGTTTTGACCTTTGTCTACAACATTCTGAATGGTCAAGCCCCGGCTTATCTTCCAGAACTGATAAAGCCTTATTCTCCAACCAGAAACCTGAGATCTGCAGACCATTTGCTTTTGTGCGTCCCGAAAATGAGGTATAAATGTCGTGGAGAGCGGGCCTTTGCGTTCACTGCTCCTAAACTCAGGAATGCTCTCCCCCTTAGTGTTCGACAGGCCCCAGGACTGGGTCGATTTAAGTCGGTACTGAAGGCCTTCTTCTATCATTTAGCTTTTATTCAATGCTCTAGTTTTTAGTGTTTTTACGTTTTATTGTGGCTCTGTATCTTATTGTTCTATGTTTCTTTTACAGTGTTTTAAATTTTGTCTCTTACCTCCTGTAGCACCCAACTCAAGTAGCTCTGGATTAACCCTCGGTTAATTCAGAGCTACTTGAGTTGGGTGCTACACATTTGGAGGCACCGCTGGGATTGTTTGTTGTTTTATCTACATTTTAAGTTACCACTAAATCTGCTGTAACCTTAAAGTAACTAAGAGTAACACTGGTCCTAAAAAGCAACTTCAATTAATCTTGTTTCTTCCCCCTACAAAGTAACTTGTTACACTATGGTCACCAAAAGTAATGTCTCACAACCAAATCTTGCAAATTGGTGCAGAGGTGAAGGGCTCGAACAGGCACATGCCGTTCTAGTTATTGGAGTGCCTGAAGAGGAGGACCTATCCACAGTAGAAGAAACACTCGAACAAGTAAAAACCTTGGGCAAGGTAAGTGTCACGAACTCCTCCCGCTGACTTCATTTCCCATCATTCCTGCCACCAACGTGGCGGCTGACGTCATCACGCCGACACTACTTAAGGAAGTGCCGGCGTTTCATTCATTACTCAGTCATCGTTCTCACCAGACTTTGTATCGAGTTTCCAGGCTTACCAGCCCTCAAACCTTCAATCCTGACCTACAGGAGTTAACCACGCTGGTTATATCCATCACTCCGCGTCTGGGCAACAGATCCTCTCAGCCAAGCTTCAGCTCTGCCACCGAACCTGACAGTAAGAGTAAGAGGAAAAATGTTTGATGCCAATAATCAAACCCTGACCATGTTATGTGAATGCCGTGAAGCAGTCGATCCTACCAAAGTTCCGCCAGAGTTGATTTCCCTTAAGGATGGAAGTAAATGGAAAATGTTGTTGCAGAGCAAGAAACAAACTCCGACCTATTCACAGAGAAGTTGGACAGATTTCTACGTGATGAAGGGAAAACACTGGAGGATGTTAAAAGACTATGTGATCCTAGAACTTCATGGAACGGCAGCCCCGAGTCAATCATTCGGGTGGTAGGTGATGTGTTGCAGTCCAAGCCAAATGAAAACAATTTATACCGTCGTTTTAGAATCTTCTCAGGAGTCCACCCTACTCCGCCCGGCGAAGACAACTTGGATAGCTGGCTAGAACAAGTAAAGTTCATGACTGATGAGTATGAGTGCTCAGATAAGGAGAAACGCCGAAGGATTATTGAGAGTCTCAAAGGGCCAGCGCTGGAGATCATTCAAGCAGTGCGCATGTCTAATCCCCTGGCAAACCATGTGGATTACATACAGGCACTGGAAAGTACCTTTGGAACCGCTGAATCCGGTGAGGAGTTGTATCTCACATTCAGAGCTATGCATCAAAGACAAGGGGAGTGCTTGTCTAACTTCTTGCTGAGACTGGAAAGATTACTGAACAAAGTCATGCAAAAGGGAGGCCTACAAGTAGATGAAGTCATCCAAGCAAGGCTTGAGCAACTCATTAAAAGTGCCACTGAATCAGACTTCATGCTGCTTCAGCTAGGTCTAAGAGGTAAGCGAAGTGATCCCCCGACATTTTTAAGTCTACTGAAAGAAATTCGAGAAGAAGAGGAGCGTGAAGCTGCAAGACAAAACTCAAAAAACCAGCACAGAGACAGTACGTGCATGCAGTGCAAGTAGCAAGTGAAACAGACTCCAGAGATTGTCAGAAACATGAGTTTCAGTCCGAAATTCAAGTGCTAAAAGAAAAGCTGA